GTCACGAGGATCCGCTAGATGCAGGCAGCGCAAGATCGATCTTTGTAGCGAGGCTTGGGGGAAGCCTACGTCCAGCAGTGGACGTCTATGGGCTGATGAGAGGAGAGAGAGAGAGAGAGAGGGACCTTCTATAAACCTTCTTAGATTTTCAAAAATACCAAAATATCAAATTATCGCGTTTAATTCGTTTTTTAGTTCGTCTAATTCTAACCAAATAAGACCCATCAATGTAATGCATAATATTAAATTGTGGTAATTAAAAACGAAATACCCGCATTTAAATCGAATAGGCAATATATTTTAGCCTCGTTAAGTTTTACAGCTCAATTTCAAGAGTATTTTAATGGCTCTGTAACTGTAACCTTGGTCAGTATTTACAATTAATTTGCAATTGTTTTCATCGATCTTGAATTTCGCGTTTAGCTTGGTTCGTCGAAATTCAGGGGTCCCATGTTTAGACGTGTTTCATCTGATGATGATACGATTTTTAAGGATTTTTTTGTTATTCGGGAGAATTTCCTAACACTAGCCCTATCAAGATTAGTGCTTCGCAGAATCTACCACCAGATCGAAATCCCGATCCGCTAAGAAAATGAATGAATGAATGAATGAAATTTCTTTATTGCACAAAATAGGGTACAAAGGCGAACTTAACGCCATGCATGCATTCTCTTCCAGTTAACCCTCGTTGATGAAGTGAAAGATTCAAGAAGTCCATAGCTGTGATGAAGTTAATACATGGCGATAATTGAAATAATTACAGTAGACATGAGTAAAATGAACACTAATAGGTTATAATTTACATAGCCAAAACAAATACATAAATACATACATGTGGTAGGACCTCTTGTGAGTCCCCGCGGGTAGGTACCACCGCCCTGCCTATTTCTGCCGTGAAGCAGTAAAATCGTTTCGGTTTGAAGGGTGGGGCAGCCGTTGTAACTATACTGAGATCTCAGAACTTATATCTCAAGGTGGGTGGCGCATTTACGTCGTAGATGTCCATGGGCTCCAGTAACCACTTAACATCAGGTTGGCTGTGAGCTCGTCCACCAATCTAAGCAATAAAAAAAAACATACAAATACTCTTCAAACATAAATGATTACTTCGAGGTAGAAATAGAAGATGGCGTTGCCTACCCATATCCCTAGTTACGAGCAATCGATACGAATGAGGCTAGTGTCAATTGTATTCTATTAGTATTGCCATGCGATTCAGATCGGAATGCTTGATGACTTCTAGCAGTAAGTAAGAAGATGGGTTATTTTTCGAAGCTATTTAGTATTTGGATGATAAGCGGTGTGTACACAGCCGTTATATAGAATCATTCTGCCTGATGCCAGATACAGTCCACTGAGTTCCTCGCCGGATCTTCTCAGTGGGTCGCGCTTCTGATCCGGTGGTAGATTCTGCGAAGCACTGCTCTAGCTAGGGTTAGTGTTAGCAACGTCGTCAGGTTTGAGCCCCGTGAGCTAACCTACTAGTTAAGGTTACGCTGAAATGGCATCTCAAGGTCATCAGCAAAAAGAATTAAAGAGAGAAGCTTTCTTCAAACTTCCATGTTAATTGTACTTTTGTCTAAGTTATAACAAAGAAACGAAATGTCCATTACATATTCAATTAGTTTCAGTTTCCGTCGGTATCTTCGTTTGCATAATATGCATGAGTTTAATACTCTATATTTTACTATCCTACCTTTTTGTATGAATATTTAGGTATCAGGGCGGGTAGATGCGTTTAAAAGCAATATCCATTGAATTATTCCCGAATAGCACTTAAGTGTGTTGCCATAGGGTTTTATATTGCAATTGCTTATTTTGGGTAAAATCGATTCACTTGTACGATGAAGTCTTGAATACTTTGGTCAGTTATAGCGATAAATAAGTAGTAATTCTTGAAGCAGAAATTCTAATTGCGACGGTAACGCCATCTATTGTTTGTCAAAGGTAGACATTATCGGTGTACTGATTCTGTGCATAAAAAGTAAAAAAAAAACAAAAAATAGATGTCGCCACTGTTTTAAAAGTGTATTCCAAAGTAAATTCAAATTTATTTTTATTGCTTACAAGGGTGGACGAACTCTCAGCCCACCTAATGTTAAGTGGTTACCGGATCCCAGTTAGGCATCTAAAATGTATATTCCACCACCCACCTTGAGACGTGAGTTGTAAGGTCTCACTTTTGACAGTACAACGGCTGCCCCGCCCTTCAAACCGAAACGCACTGCTTCACGACAGAAATAGGCGGGGCGGTGGTACCTACCCGTGCGGACACGCAAATACGGACTAAAAAGAGGGAAGACAAATCTGTCTGCTCCTGACTTCCTACCCATCTTCAGTATACTCATGTACGCTTATAACTGCGCAGCCATATCTTGGAAACTCATTAAAAGTGGAAATCGTGGTAAGAACCCCGTAAATTATTATTATTTATGTATACTATATCTTTGTTATCTATATCAAAACGTATTATATAAACAAATCGTGTTTTTCACATTCAACTTTATTACTAAGCAACAGAATACAAATTTAAAAGTGGCGATAGCTTTATATATTACACAGCCTCAACGTGATAAGTAATTCAAGAGTCTGAACGAAATCCGAGATTCCGAGGTGGTATGAATAACAAATTGACCGCACATTTTTTACAGTTCTCTAGGGTTGAGTATTTTGTAAATTTATTTGTATGTTACGGATACCTTTTGGTAGTCGAGAGATCGCCCTGAGGTTTTTCCGCTTACTAGTGGTGCTTGTAATAAAGGAATTCTCAAAAGTGGTACCGGTGGTTTTGAACTAGACATCTTGTGAGTCCGCACGGGTAGGTACCACCACCCTGCCTATTTCTGCCGTGAAGCAGTAATGCGTTTCGGCTTGAAGGGTCGGGCAGCCGTTGTAACTATACGAGACCTTAGAACTTAAATCTCAAGGTGGGAGGCGCATTTACGCTGTAGATGTCTATGGGCTCCAGTAACCACATAACACCAGGTGGGCGGTGAGCTCGTCCACACATCTAAGCAATAAAAAAAATAAAAAATGTAGATTTCAGATCGAGCCTCGTGAGTTCGCCCAGCAGTCAAGTTGAAGCCAGACCATTCGAAGCTAGTGCCAAATTGGTAGGCATTTTTTCGCAACGTACAATTAATTCCTTTTTAGCAAATACAGGGATAGTTTATTGTGTTTATTCTAATGGGTTTACAGTTTAGTGCACATTAATAACTGAAGCTTCTGTATCATAGTCATTGAACTATCGGACAAGCTATTAAAATCAGCAATGAAATAAGTATGTATTTCGTGTTTTTAAGCTCCATTAAAAATATTTAACAAACATTCCTCTGAATTATCATCCGATTCAGAGATTTCAAAATAATCTCTACCAGTTTTACCAAGAACCCCACAGTCCTGTGAGGAATCTACATTACAAACTCAGTGGACTTTACATTTTACATTAAAAATAATTAGCTCAAAATTTCTACATTCCATTTTAGACGTAAATTAACTTCAATTACATAATTCACCCTCACATGCGACTCTACTAAAAAAAGAGTTTTTAGAGCAAGAAAACATAGAATTATTAGACCATCCGCCGTACAGCCCCGACCTAAGCCCTAATGATTTCTATACTTTCCCTAAAATAAAGAATAAATTGCGTGGACAGAGATTTTCATCACCTGAAGAAGCTGTGGATGCCTACAAAACGGCCATTTTGGAGATCCCAACTTCCGAATGGAATGGTTGCTTTAATGATTGGTTCCATCGTATGGAAAAATGTGTCAAATTTCGCGGAGAATACTTCGAAAAGCAATAAATACATTTTTAAATAGTAAAGTTGTGTCACTTCGTTAATTCCCGAAATTTTCAGTGCCACCCCCGTATTATAGGCTAAATTATAAAAATCTAAATTTTGCAACATGATATTTTATTCTCATACTTGGATACCTATTAAAACTTCGCGGCTTTAGTTACTTGGGGACTGAAATTTTGAAGTTTATCCGATTTATTATTGCCTTCGGGAAGCGAGACGTGAAAGAAAATGAATTAATACAAAGAAGTCTGCGCCCTGGGGAGCGAAGACAGAAACTTCTAAATATAATTTACTTCTTGAAGCTGAATACATAAGAAACGTTTAGAATGACGAACTCAAGATCTATTTTAAGAACCTCAATAACAATGGTTGTTTTAGAATATCTCCATTTCTGCACAGTAGCTATTGTTTTGATACTGATTGAAACAACCTCTATATAATTATCCTGGCGTGTGTTTATTCATCTCTAATTGCTACTGAATCCTAGTTTGGGACCAGTATACTTAGTGCGAGTATTTTAAAGTTCTCCATAGCGTAAAAGTTAACTCAATTTTGTATGCAGTTGGAACAGTGCCCCAAGCGGCAAACGTTCCAACTTCATACAAATTTGAGTTAACGTTTACGCGATCGAGAACGTTAAAAAACTCGCACTAAGCACCCAGATGACTGCGTGATTCATTCCCGATTATGCATTTAACTCCCAACAATGGAGACACATAGCAATGCAATTTGGTTGTCTGGTGGCTTAGACTAGAAACATCGTATCGTGTCGTACAACTCCACCAAGACATTCACAGAAGAAGCAGAAATTGCTGACCAGCTTAACTCAGTGTAGGGGTATCGTAAGCCCACACGCGTGCATGTCAACAACAATGCCAGTAACAGCTATCTCAGTTGTTTAGTTGATGGGCCTCTACCATCTTCGACCATTGAGTTCCATATATTGGGCGCGCCCCCTCACCCGCAGCAACCTCGTAAGAGATGCCGTTTGGAGACCCGAAAAAAAGTGTCATGCCCAAGACGCCCAGTTCCTGCTCCACCGAGCGCCGCCAAGTTGTTCTAAGACGGCCTCTCTTCCTTTTGCCAGACACTTTCAAGGCTCTCTTGGTTAGATGAGTATTGGGCTTTCCTAATGTGTGACCAATCCAATGCCATTTCCGTGTAACTCGTCTATGTGCGTTAGTAAAATAAAACTTACCTTTGTCATCAGATTTGAACTCTGCTTCCAACTCAGCCTTGGTTGGCACGGGCTCGGGTTTGCAAGGTTCCTGCTTGGCCGCCTTCATGCTCATTGATTTCCTTGTCCTGTGACCACGGAACGCTGCCTGGATTTTAGTGGCTGCCTGTTCTTCTGACTTTACGCCTTCTTTGTTCTTCTCTTCTGCGAAAAATATTTGATTTTAAATTAGTTCAATATTGACAGTCTTGACGAATTTTCAAGCCAACAGTTGGCAAGAGATAGCAGAAGATTGGGAGGAATGAAGAGATCTTATCTGAGGCCAAGATCCATGTCTAAAGAAAGTTGCATTAGGCATAAGTCAAGATTGCCATTTGCTGTAATAAAGACTTCATATACATAGATAATTTTGGGAGAAGAGATCAAACACTCACTAAAACGGTACTGTAAAGAAACTATGGAGAACAGATAAATATTTTTCAAAGAACTTTGCTTCATGTAAATAATACATCAAGAACTTTTACGACATTGCTATTAGCAAATTTATATAGTTTCACAGAAGTCAAACAATTTTTTTTTTATTCATAACTAAACCATTAATCGAATTCTCTGAGTGAAAGTTTAAAAGAAACACATGATTTAAAAATTATGATATTTATTTCAAACATACACGTAAATTGTGTTGGTATCTTTAGCTATCATCACTCCACTACATAGTATAAAACAAAGTCGCTTTCTCTGTCCCCATATCCTTAAATCATTAAAACTACGCAACTGATTTTGATGCGTTTTTTTTTAATAGATAGAGTGATTAAAGAGGAAGGTTTATATGTATAATAATATCCATTAAATAGTGAAGAAATCAATAATCAATTACAGTTTCGAGGGGCGGGTCGCTAGTGTAGTATAAAATTAAGAGTGCTTTAGTCTGTTCTTTCAGTTATTTCTTCCGAGCCATGCAAGTGGTCTCCATACGGTTTTCGCTGATAGAGAAAGTTACAAAATACACGAATTGCTTACATTATTCATAAAAGCATTGGGTAAAATATTCTATGGAGGTTGTTATATTAGAAATTTAGTTTTAAAATACTCGTAGGCGCTTTCCCAATCCTTTACGGTTACTCCAATAAATTTTATAAAGAAATTTAAAGGCACATCGTATTTATCAATTACGCTTATTGAATTTCGCGTTCAATTTATTTGTTGTCGTGCAACGGAGGTAGTTGAAAATAATTACAGACCGAAAATTGTATAACAAATCAAAAGCCGTAAAAGTGCTTTCAATATTCGCAATCAGATAATGGTGACCTCATGGTAATTACTAAATAATAAAAGAGAAAGCTTTTTCTTCTTCAGCCGCGCTTAATTTGAACTGGCGATCGGTGGTGAAGGTCGCGGGAGTCGCTGGGTCAGTCACGACAACCTTGAACGGTGAACGTCTTTCAGCCAAACATATAACATTTCGTCACTTAGCAAATTAGATCGGTCGATTACGTCACGAATAAAGGTCAAATGAACGAACGCTTTTTCGTATTATCTTATACCTTTAAACGAGCAATTCTTGTATATTAATATATAAAATATGTATATAATCGGAATCTCGGAAACGGCTCCAACGATTTTCACAAAATTTATTATACAGGGAATTTCGGGGGCTATAAATCGATCTAGCTACGATTTATTTTTAGAAAATGTTGTTTTATTCGTGCTTTCAATAATCAACTCTTCCCGACATCTATTGGAGAATAATAATACTATTTTTCTTAATTGAGGGCAACAAAAAAAAACCGCGCAAAGCTCGGTCATCATCTAGTTCCGATTATATATCGAAGGGTGATATTCACCCATCCCATTTTCCAATCCCAACCCATTCATATTTTGGTTTAAGGGACATTTTTGGAATTTTACAGGTGAGCCGTTTAAAATTTGGAAAAAAATATCATAACAAACTAACTTCTTTATCTATTTGATTGGAGTAAACTTAATTGAACTTGAATTGAAAATATCGAACTGTTGATGCTGATCTATATCTATACTAATATTATAAAGAGGAAAGATTTGTTTGTTTGTTTCTATTGAATAGGTTCCGAAACTACTGAACCGATTTGAAATATTCTTTCACTGTTTGGAAGCTACACTATTCCCGAGTGACATAGGCGATAATCTTTTTTGAAAAAAATTTGGGATCCTTACTAAAACTCCAGTAATGTAACCTAAGGTGTAAAAAAATCATCTAAAATATTGTTTACATCGCGTGCCCTGCGAAAACTATTGATGATAGAATAAAATAATGTATTACGACTTTGTAGACCACATTGTTATTTACAAAAAGTGTCGCGACAGCATATTTCTAACTATTATAGTTATGCCGCAATAAGTGTCCTTTTATTTAAAAAAATAAAACAACGTAAAATATCGTTGAAATTTTTGTTAAAGACCCCAGCGGAGCCGGAGCGGGCCGCTTGTACCAAATAAAACGCACCTTTAATTACAAAGATAAAGGTCGCGTGTTAAGCGGAATGTCGCTTAAACCAAAAAGCTTTCAACCATCCGTTATGATATATTACGCTGTTTTTTTTATAGCTTAGATGCGTGGAGAGCTCGTGGACCACCTAGAGTTTAGTAGTTATCGAAGCCCATAGACATCTACAGCGTAAATGCCGCCACCTACCTTAAGATATAAGTTTTAATGTCTCAGTATGGTTACAACGGCTCCCCCCCCCCCCCTTCATACCGAAACGCATTACTGCTTCACGGTGGAAATAGACGGGGTAGTGGTACCTACCCGTGCGAACTCACAAGAGGTCCTACCACCAGTAATCACGCAAATTATAATTTTGCGGGTTTGATTTTCATTACACGATGTTATTCCTTCACCGTGGAAGTCAATCGTGAGCACTTGTTAAGTACGTGTTTCATTAGAAAAATTGGTACCCGCCTGCGGGATTCGAACACCGGTGCATCGCTACATACGAATGCACCGGACGTCTTATCCTTTAGGCCACGACAACTCCAAACTACTGCATACAGTAAACATTACATATTATAATAATATATACAACAATATACTTATTTATTTATAAACATTTAAACTGTCAGGACCTTGATGTTTTGACGAGAAAATTAATCAAATCGCATTGTCGGGTCCGTCATATATCCAAACGGCTTCTCCTCGTCCCAGCGAATTTATTAACGACCGCTCGAGAGGATGGAAATAGCTTCCAGTGGGTTGGTTATCGATTTTCTTCGGTTACAAACCGGTCGTTATTTATAGGTTTGTTTTAGCGCAGGTAGAAAAGGTTAACGACCTGTCATGAATTGCGTAAAATATTTAATACTAGCGACCCGCCCTCGCTTCGCTTCGGAAATATTAAATTTTATTATTGATAGCTGAGTCCCGCGATGTTACCCGCGGTTATTGTCGTACCGCGGGTGAAGCCGCGGGGCGAAGCTAGTCTAAAAAAAGTAGCCTATGTTACTCCTTATATCATCAGCTACCTATCAGTGACAGTCCCGTTAAAATCGGTCCAGCCGTTCGAGAAATTAGCCGGAACAAACAGACAGACAAAAATTGTAAAATATGTTATTTTGGTGTATGTACCGTATATATATATTCATATGCATGTTTTAAAAAGCGGTTATTTCAATATTACAAACAGACACTTCAATTTTATTTATATGTATAGACTAGCTTTTGTCCGCGACTCCGTCCGCGTGGAATAGTTCCTTTGGCATAACGCTAAATTTTAGCCCCCACTTCATTTACGTAGAAAGTGAAAATATTTTGAAACATTCTTTATTGGTGCTCCACTTCTATGGGTCTCATGTTGTTATATATAGCCTATGGCCCTCCTCAATAAATGGGCTATCTAACACTGAAAGAATTTTTAAAATCGGACCAGTATTTCCTGAGATAAGCGCGCTCAAACAAACAAACTCTTCAGCTGTATAATATTAGTATCGATATTAAATTCGGGGTTTTCTTTTAAGCTCGCGCTTTGAAACTGATTCAAACGCAGCCTTCGTTCATACGATCAACATTAACGACACACAAACACACACACGTGATCATCATCATCATCGTCATCAGCCCACAGTCGTCCACTGCTGGACATAGGCCTCTCCCAATCCACACCACTGAGCCCAATCTTAGGCTCTCCTTATCCAGCTCCTACCGGCCACTGTTCGGAGGTCATTGCACTATCCAGTCAGTAAGGTGGGCCTAGAAAACACACACACACACGGCCGACTGCAATGTCCGTGAACACTTACAAGAAAATATTAATAAAACTTACACATAATACGTGCCTAAGATCGACCATGGACTTCTGAAGTGAGTATTGTGGATAAATAATCAGTTTTATGGAAAATAAAATCAAAACATACTAATTTTTTTAAATTATTTTTATTGCATAGATAGGTAGACGAGCTCACAACCTACCTAGTGTTAAGTGGTTACCAGAGCCCGTAGACATCTACAACGTAAATGCCGCCACATACCTTGAAATATGAGTTCTAAGGTCTCAGTCAGATATTCGTTCTATTCGGCGATAGATGGCGTCACTCTCACTCGTAACAATATTCTGTTACAATAAAGTAGACAAATGAACCGTCCTTCTAATGATATTGAGTACAAGAGCTAATTGCAAAATGTCTCAACTCTCACGAACCGTGTCACTAATAGATGTCAAGTGTCTAGTTTGCAACGGAGTGCATCGGCAGTGTCTTAGAGCTGACAAAGACAGCGGACACTCATCTCGGGAGCTCTTCACGATCCAGAGAGCCGGCTAACGAGCTGAAGTCTATCAACTTAGTGCACGGTATATATTAATGAATGAATGAATGAACGAATGAATGAATGAATGAATGAACGAATGAATGATTTATTTTATTTCAGACAACAATAAGACCATATGTGTACATAGTATCATTGAAACATACTTAAAATTAACAAAACCAATCAAATAAAAAAGATACATTTATCTATATAAATAGGTATATTAAAATGAATTGCCGTTCGTTAGTCTCGCTAAAACTCGAGAACGGCTGGACCGAATTGGCTAATTTTGGTCGTGAATTATTTGTGAAAGTCCAGAGAAGGTTTAAAAGGTAGATAAATATGAAAATGCTCGGAAATAAATAAAAATAACAATTTTGTTTTTCCTTTGATGTGTCCCCCTTCGGACGGATTCCTTTTGTTTGTT